TACCAATAACACTGATTTATTTACTGCTAAATTTATATCCATTTTAATAAAAGACCCTTTATAAGTGTTAAGTTAAACTACTTTTTGATGCTATATAGGTAGAAGATAGATTTGTGTTGGTTACACGTGTGGGTTTTAGTTAAAGGGTTAGTAATGTTAGGTGGTTAGCAATTTAAAACGTATGAAAAAAAGCTTCTGAAGCAAGCGTCTAGACCGAAAATATTTATTGTCAGCTGACATGCAGTTGGCAGCTGTCACGTCTTGAAGAGAATAAGTTTACATGTGCGGTCAATTTTGATGTGTTGTGAAGATTGAACAAAGATAGCCACAAACGGAGAGGTACTTAGTAAAGCTCGTTTATAATCGTATTTTAAGTAATTGATTCGTTATATTACATCATTTAAACCAGCCAATATATTTTCCGACTCTGGCAGTGATTATCAACCTTTTCTTTTTACCACAGGCGCACTTCAGAAAAACTAAAAGTCCAGGACTCACTTTAAATTTTAATACGGAAAATTTAGTCGAGAAATTTAAAAATAAAATAATAAAAAAATGGAGTCTCTTAAAATAATAAGTATTTATTTTGACAACATTGTATATTTACGTATTCTTATTGTGAATCCTGTGTTTGTCGTGCTTTGGCAAAGAAAAAACTTAACTTTTAATAGTTTTATTTTTCGTTTAGCATCCCCAAAGAATATTAGCGGTAAAGTTTTTTCATTTAAAGAGATTTATGAAGAATCTGCTATATTTTAGAGAGTCTTGAGGAGAACGAAATGAAAAGGATTGTCCACTCCTATTTAAGATTAAGGAATTTAGCATCCAGTTTACAATATCAAATGACAATGACTTGATTTGACACTGAAGCCATGTACTTGGTTTCTCTAGCATTTAAAAATAAAAAATTGGATCTTTTCTGTTAATATTAATTAAAATATTAATTCCCCCCAAAATAAAATATATATTTACTAAAATCCACACCAAATTCCCTCAAAGCGAGACACTTTCATTTCACACCAGCTGGGTTCACCTTTGCGACCGACAAAGATGAGGACAATAGTTCAAATAATGTAAATAGTGTACATAATACCTCATCTCAGAAATATAGATATATTCTGAAGGGCCGAAACGTTGTAATAAATATGGCAACAACGATGAGAACAATAGTCCGAATAATGTAAATAGTGCACAGACTACTTCATATCAGAAATATAGGCAGATACTGAAAGGCCGAAACGTTGTATTAAGTATGGCGATAAAGATGAGGACAATAGTCCGAGTAATGTAAATAGTGCACAGAAAACCTCATATCAGAAATATAGACAGATATTGATTCTGTCTATCGACAGAATACAGCGGCTGCGCTTATTATTTTCAGGGTTGGACGAGTCCTACTAAAATCGGTTTTGTTTTAGTTTGTTTTGTTACAATCTTTTAGTTGTTAGTTTTGGGGGTTTATTCCGCCCCTCTCTTATTTCGTGATTCATGAATTTTTTTATATATTTTTATGAACTTTCATAAGATTTTTATACCATGGGGGTGTTTTGTAGATCCCCTAAGAATGGGTGGTATATGCGAAATCGATTGCTGAGGGACGCGTTCTTGTGGTAAATGGATAAATTGTATTAGATGAATGGGTCGTGATTGTGATTAACTAGGATTATGATATTTAGCAGAGACTAGCCTTTCCCCACTTTGCTCTTTGGCCTTATACCGCAATTACTGTATTTTTAGTTATAAATATATTATCATGTGATAAATGTTATTTGACAGATAAAATATTCGTTTTTAACTGAGACCTTAATAAACTCAGGACACAAATGTTTTTCTTTTTATTATTATTATTCATGTTTTTTCCCATCGAATGATACTTTTTGGATTTTCTTTGTCTTCTGCTAAATTGCTAGCTTCATTATTCGTTACTTTTCAACGATCATTAATTTAAACTTATCAAGTGTTTATTTCTGAGTTTGACCGCGAGTAAAAGGGAAACACACCATCAAAACGGTGGATAGACGAGAAACACTATTTCTCTGTTCATGCAAGCAATAGGAGCGACATCGAAATCCAAAGGCCAATTCAGATAGCGAAAATTGCCTTTCAGAAAGCTAAGCAAATTATGAAGAAAAACATTTCATTAGAAACAAAAAAATAGTCCTGAACTGTTATGTAATATTGGTTCTCCTATACAGTACCGAATGTTCGACAATCTCTTCACAGATTAAGAAGACATTTGAGGCAAAAGAAATATGGTTCTACAGAAGGATGCTGAGGATTTTATAACATGTAATATCGATCCCCCTATACAGTACCAAATGCTCGACTATATCCTTATAGCTTAAGCAGACAAATGAGTCAACAGAAGTGTAGTACAACAGTAGGATGCTGAGGATTTTTAAATATGTAATATAGATTCTCCTGTAGAGTAGCGAATGCTCGACTGTCTCCTTAAAATGTTAAGAAGACAATTGAGTCAAGAGAAATGCGGTTCTACAGTAGGATGCTGAGTATTTCAAAATATGTAATATAGATTCTCCTATACAGTACAAGAGTTCAATACCAGGCCACAGCAGTGGTGAAACAAAACTTGGAGTGTTGTGTTAAAGGGCAATAGTTTATACATCCGGAAGAGGCATGACATCTGGAACTAGAAAAATTTACCCCGGTGGACGAAATAATTGGTTCGGTTAGAAACTCCAATCACCTGAAGAAGGCCGGTCGAAACATTATGAATATGGCGATGAAGATGAGCATAACAGTCCGAATAATGTAAATAATGCAAGTAATCATAATATCTCATCTCAGAGATTTAGAGGCCGAAACGTTGTGAATATGGCAATGAAGATGAAGATCACAGTCCAAATAATGTAAATAATGCAAGTAAACATAATACCTCATTTCAGAGATATAGAGGTCGAAATGTTGTGAATATGGCAATGAAGATGAAGATCACAGTCCAAATAATGTAAATAATGCAAGTAATCATAATACCTCATCTCAGAGATCCAATCGTCTGAAGAAGGCCAGAGCGTACAACGGCTGAAACTTTGTGAATATGGCAATGAAGATGAGGATAACAGTCCGAATAATGTAAATTATGCAAGTAATCATAATACCTCATCTCAGAGATATAGAGGCCGAAACGTTGTGAATATGGCAATGAAGATGAAGATCACAGTCCAAATAATGTAAATAATGCAAGTAATCATAATACCTCATCTCAGAGATCCAATCGTCTGAAGAAGGCCAGAGCGTACAACGGCTGAAACTTTGTGAATATGGCAATGAAGATGAGGATAACAGTCCGAATAATGTAAATTATGCAAGTAATCATAATATCTCATCTCAGAGATATAGAGGCCGAAACGTTGTGAATATGGCAATGAAGATGAAGATCACAGTCCAAATAATGTAAATAATGCAAGTAAACATAATACCCCATTTCAGAGATATAGAGGCCGAGACGTTGTGAATATAGCAATGAAAATGACGATCACAGTCCAAATAATGTAAATAATCATAATACCTCATCTCAGAGATATAGACAGATATAGGACAAAAAAGTATAAAAAAAGGTTGAATACAACAATCTAAAAACAAAAATAGATTTTGAATCACCTAAACTATGGTCGCTTTGAAAAAGAAGAAGGGATTAAAAAAGCTAGAACGCAAATATCAAAAAGAAAACTAACTCTCGGTGAGGCACATGAAATTTTGGACCCTACGAAAAAGAGGATGAAGAAGGGTTAAAAAAAGTGAAAATGACTAAGCGTGGAGGAAATAAAGAAAATGTAACGTTGAATAAATGATGAGAAAAGGGCAAAAATATTATAAAAAAGAGGTGAAGAAATATGGAAATTAAGGAATGCAGAATTGATTGATTTTTTACGTCTTATCAACCCTTTCAGGGTTATTTAAAGCCATAAAAAGTTTCACACTGTAAGAATGTTTTTTTAGACAATGCGAGTCTAGTGAGACATCTTACTAATTAACCCATAGCTGGGGTAAGAAGAGGTGGTATTTGCGTGCAAGTGATTATATCGAACGCAACAAGAATTGGAACTCGTCTCTCCGATTAACAATTACGAGTGATTAACCATTACACCAGCCGCACATCCAAGCTAAAATCATCTAGTATCCCCAAGCGATTACTCATCTAGCCATTGACCAGGCTTCAGTGATCGTAGAGGAACCGATGTTCCAACATGATGCGGCCATAAGCCAAGATATAGAATTGATTGATTGATGTTTTTACGGCTTAACAACCCTTTCAGGTTTATTTAAAGCTATAAAAGGTTTTACACTGTAAGAATGTTTTTTTTTAAAAAATACGAGTTTAGTGAGACATCTTAATAATTAACCCATAGCTGGGGGGAGAAGAGGTGGTATTTGCGTGCAAGTGAATATATCCAACGCAAGAAGAATTGGAACTCGTCTCTCCGATTAACAATTACGAGTCATTAACCATTACACCAGCCGCACATCCAAGCTAAAATCATCTAGTATCCCCAAGCGATTACCCATCTAGCCATTGAACAGGCTTCAGTGATCGTAGGGGAACCGATATTTCAACATGATTCGGCCGTAAGCCGAGATATAGAATTGTAAGAGCCGAGTGAAGAAACGACGGGGAATCAACGATGTAGAAAAAGAAGAGATGAAGAGCAAAGGTTTACCAAACGTTGCAAGATTTTGTTAAGTCTAATACAAAAATCTGTATTTACGAAGCAGATACAAAGGTTTCCACCTGGTCCTGGTGTTGTTAAAACCTGCTTTTTTCTCATCAAAATTCATAGCATGGCTTTGTCATGTATGCAGGTACATCCTATCAATATATTAATTTCATACAAATCCAAATAGAAAAAAATGACAAGCGAAGATTATGTTGCGCCACAAAGAAAGAATGATAAGGAAGAAAATAAAGAAAAAATTCGATAATAAAAATGATTGTAAAAGAAAACCGGATGAAATTATTCAAATTAAAAAAGATGGAAGACAGCAAATGATAAAAAGAAATTGAAAAGGAAAATGAAACAGAAAGACGCCAAAAGGAAAGAAATTATTCATAGAAAAATAGATTGGAAACGATAGACGTGAAAAGAGAAAATGAATGAAATAAAGAAGCAACAATTTAATGTACAAAGGAAATAAAGAAATTGAGAAAAGAAAGTAAAGATAAGAAACTTTCGAAATTGGATAAAAGAAAGAAACGAAGGAAAAAGTAAAGAAAGAAAGAAAGAAAGAAAGAAAGAAAGAAAGAAAGAAAGAACGGCAGGGAGGAAATAAAGAAAAAAGAAAGGAATGGTGGTAGCCTGAAATACGGAGAAAACATAGATTAAGAAAAGAAAGAAAGAAAAAAGAAAGAAAGAAAGAAAGAAAGAAAGAAAAAAAAGAAAAGAAAGAAAGAAAGAAAAGAAAGAAAAAAAAAAGAAAGTGGTAAGAAAGAAATACGGAGAAAACATAGATTAAGACGGGAAAGAAAAGAAAGAAAGAAAAGAAAGAAAAGAAAGAAAAGAAAGAAAGAAAGAAAAGAAAGAAAGAACGGAAGGAAGGAAATAAAGAAAAAAAAAGAAAGGAATGGTGGTAGCCTGAAATACGGGAGAAAACATAGATTAAGAAAGAAAGAAAAAAAGAAAGAAAGAAAGAAAAGAAAGAAAAGAAAGAAAAGAAAGAAAGAAAGAAAAAAAAAGAAAGGAATGGAATGGTAGCCTGAAATACGGAGAAAAACATAGATTAAGAAAGAAAAGAAAGAAAGAAAAGAAAGAAAGAAAGAAAGAAAGAAAGAAAAAGAAAGAAAGAACGGCAGGGAGGAAATAAAAAGAAAAAAAGAAAGGAAAGAAAGAAAGAAAAAATGGAGAAAACATAGAGAAAAAAAGAAAGGAAAGAAAGAAAAAAAGATGGAAAAAAAGAAAGAAAGAAAGAAAAAGAAAGAAAAAAAAAGAAAAAAAGAAAAAAGAAAGAAAAAAGAAAAGGAATGGTGGTAGCCTGAAATACGGAGAAAAACATAGATTAAGAAAGAAAGAAAGAAAGAAAGAAAGAAAGAAAGAAAGAAAGAAAAAAGAAAAGAAAAGAAAGAAAAAAAAAGATTAAAAAGAAAGAAAGCAGGGAGGAAATAAAGAAAAAAAGAAAGGAAAGGAAATGGTGGTAGCCTGAAATACGGAGAAAACAAATTACGGAGAAAAAACATAGAAGAAAGAAAAAAGAAAAGGAAAAGAAAAAAAAAGAAAGAAAAGAAAGAAAAAAAAAAGAAAGAAAGAAAAAAAGAAAAGAACGGCAGGGAGGAAATAAAGAAAAAAGAAAAGGAAATGGTGGTAGCCTGAAATACGGAGAAAACATAGATTAAGAAAGAAAGAAAAGAAAGAAAAAAGAAAGAAAGAAAAAAAAAGAGGAAAGAAAGAAAAGAAAGAAAAGAAAAAGAACGAGCAGGGAGGAAATAAAGAAAAAAAGAAAGAAATGAAAGTGGTAAAAGAAAAAAAAGAAAGGAAAAAAAACATAGATTAAGAAAGAAAAGAAAGAAAGAAAAGAAAGAAAAGAAAGAAAGAAAAAGAAAGAAAAAAGAAAGAAAGAACGGCAGGGAGGAAATAAAGAAAAAAGAAAAGGAATGGTGGTAGCCTGAAATATGGAAAAACATAGATTAAGAAAAGAAAGAAAGAAAGAAAGAAAGAAAAAAGAAAGAAAGAAAGAAAAAAAGAAAGAAAAAGAAAGGAAAGAAAGAAAAAGAAAGAAAAAAAGAAAGGAAAGGTGGAAAGAAAGAAAAGAAAAGAAAGAAAAAAAGGAGAAAACATAGATTAAAACGGGAGAAAACATAGATTAAGAAAGAAAGAAAGAAAGAAAGAAAGAAAGAAAGAAAGAAAGAAAGAACGGCAGGGAGGAAATAAAGAAAAAAGAAAGGAATGGTGGTAGCCTGAAATACGGAGAAAACATAGATTAAGAAAGAAAGAAAGAAAGAAAGAAAGAAAGAAAGAAAGAAAGAAAGAAAGAAAGAACGGCAGGGAGGAAATAAAGAAAAAAGAAAGGAATGGTGGTAGCCTGAAATACGGAGAAAACATAGATTAAGAAAGAAAGAAAGAAAGAAAGAAAAGAAAGAAAGAAAGAAAGAAAGAAAGAAAGAAAGAAAGAAAGAACGGCAGGGAGGAAATAAAGAAAAAAAGAAAGGAATGGTGGTAGCCTGAAATACGGAGAAACATAGATTAAGAAAGAAAGAAAAGAAAGAAAGAAAGAAAGAAAAGAAAGAAAGAAAGAAAGAAAGAAAGAAAGAAAGAAAGAACGAAAGGGAGAAAAAAAAGAAAGAAAAAAGAAAGAAATGGTGGTAGCCTGAAATACGGAGAAAAATAGAAGAAAGAAAGAAAGAAAGAAAGAAAGAAAGAAAGAAAGAAAGAAAGAAAGAAAGAACGGCAGAGTGGAAATAAAGAAAAAGAAAGGAATGGTGGTAGCATGAAATATGGAGAAAACATAGATTAAGAAAGAAAGAAAGAAAGAAAGAAAGAAAGAAAGATA